AACACGAACATCCATTACTGAGCGTCTTAGGTCAGACGATACGATTATCAAATCGATCATTGACTTCTGTTCACAAGCTTCCTGGTACCAGGTGTACTGATGCACTTTTCGATGCTCGGAGAAGGTGCTCATGATGGACAATCCGTTGTTTGCATAAAACCGCAATAACTTCATGCCGTTGTTATTGAGGTCGCTAGGGCCGTTTTTCCCAATCACGCCGTTCCACCTTTCAACGCCTACTCCGATGTGCGCATTAATATCGCTACTCTTAATTCGGCACTTGAGACAGAGCACACTGCACTTCCTCAAGGAAGATCTCATATTCTCCTTTCAAATTGGGCGCATAGACCTGCACCAAGGTCATCGATTTAGCTTGTTGTAGCTTCAGTCGGAGAATTGCCACCCTTCCGTTGATAGGCTTCCAATCGATTATTCTATCGGCAAAGTTGGGTTCTACCAGAACGCGAACACCGGCATGAGCGCGAGTCGTGATGTCGACGCCTGAGTTGAACAGCTTCCATCCACTGAGGATCAGGAGTCCAGAGCCTGGGCGTTTTGTGGACGAGAGTCGAACAATGTGGAGTTGGTGCTTTATGGCCTCATCAACTAAGTCTTGTTGGTTTCCTCTGAATGACGATATATTCCAATTTGCGACTTTAAACTCCCACTGGTGGTGTCATTCTCGTGGACTCTTTTCTGACGTGCTGTAATAGCATCGCGCTGTCTGCCTCCTCCGTTCAGAACGGATAGCGACTCCGTTGTTGACTGGTATCTTCGTCGTCGTTGTGCTGCCACTCCCCCGGCTGGCATAGGGCAATGAGCAGGTTCTGATCGCCGACTTTTCGCAGTCTGTCTCAGTCCCCCAACGGCCTGCGCAAATTCAGTACTCCATTTCTTAATTTATTTTCTTCTAAGCATCGTACGCAACTCCACCACTGAAAGTTCAGGACTCAGATGAGGAAGGATGAGGGTAGAAACCCGTAACCCGTAGCGAGGTTCTCGTAAAATTGGTCACCTACCCCTCGTTTTATTGCCGCCATACCTACTCGACCCTCACTCTGGTTACCAAGGGCAGCGCGGGCTATTGCGGAATGACTCAGACTACGAATCGTCGGTTATTGAAACCTACCTTACGCCTTCTTGGAGCTGGGTGCTTCGCATCATGGCGACGGCTGTCAAAGATGGACACTAAGATAGCGAAAGTATCAGTCAGCAACGGAGTCTCTACCTGTTCTGAACGGAGAAGGCATACAGTGCGATGTCGTCCGTAGTCAGAAACTGGAATATCTCCTCATTCGCTGGGAAACAGCAGGAACTAGGTGATGAGGCATCAAAGTGCCGACAGTGCCGAGGTATCTCGTTATTGAAGCACCACGGATAAGGAATTCTAAACCTCTGCGGATGGAAGCGATTCTGCACAAGCGTCAAGCCTGTGTAGGTGTTCCGGTAGACCAAACCTGGCTTAGAGTAACTGAATGGAAGCCCGTTGGCAGAAGGGCGACACCGATCTAACCAAAGTCGCAACATGCAAGCGATTTGACTTTGTTACAGGTCCATGCGCCCATCTCGTAAAGAAAAAAACTAATCCTTCTCAAACAAGCAGAAACTGCTTTGTACGAAGTGCCGACTGCGGAATCCATCGTTTCAATACCCATGTCAGAAAAGACAATGAGAAGCGAACAGGCTTGATTGTGAAGAAAGACTGTAACGATCTCGACAATAATCCGATTTCTGCAAATAACGATGTGTCTATGCACTGTTTTTTCAGCAGCCAAATGTACTTCGTCATATCTGGAATGCGGAAGCATGTGTAGAGGTCGATGATCGATTTGATGATCGTTTTGATGTAATGGATGCCTCGTTAAGAAACGCGCAGAGCCGTCAATCGACCATCACCTTGTCGTTGCGAGATTTGGAGTTCCATGCGACGACCTGGTGGCAGTAACAACAACAGAATCAAATGATAAACATTGTTGTTGGCGAATACAAGAGCGAAACTTGTAAACAACATCGCGTCGACGATCTGAACAAATCCCAGGGATATCAGCTGACGTGGAAAACTTAATAAAAGCTGTTTACCAGCCACTAAATCTGGGTCGCCACCGAATGCTGCACTTTAAAACGGGTAGCCTGGAGATCTTGATGTAGATGGGAGGCACGATTGGCAGTTAAAGATAGAAATGGCTTGGAAACAGAGTCTTCAACTCGAATGCGGTGCCAAGCAGTACCGCAAGGCGGCAACAAAAACCGATTCTTGCGAAACGTTCTGTAAGATGCTGAAGTCGAACTTCATGACACCAGACAAGCTATTCTTGCAGATAATCCGCCATCTACTAGGCGGAAAGATGGGCAGTCTCAAAATCCTGAAGGCCAAGTCGGACCCATTCTGACAATGGAGAAGAACACAATTTGCTGATGAACAGAGTTGTTTGAGGAACCGCTGGAAGACTGACCTCAAGAGCAGTAGGATGAACAGTTGTCTTTCAATAAAGTCCCAAAACTGCGAAAAGCTTAAAAACTGTCAGGGTTACTGAAATCGATGACTTCCCCAGAGACGTATCAAGCTTTAGGGGATCAGTGCATGTTGCGGCTGACACGTTTCCGTCAAACTACAATGGTTATGGGGAAATAATTGGTGGACATTAGAACTGAGAAAGTAGTACTTCTGTTCAAGAGAGAGACCATTGGATTACAACAATCCTGGCATTGTCTTATTGAGTCTCCCGGGAAAAGTCTACGCGAAGGTTTGAGAAAAGAGGTGCTGTGGAATGGCTGACCTTACCTTACAGGCTAACCGGCCTTGCTTCAGGTCAGGCCGAATCACATTTGATCAGATCTTCACCATCCGAGAGATTGTTGAGAATAGTACGAATTCCTCCATGCAGTTTACATGTGCTTAGTTGATCTGGAGAAGGCCTTTAATCAGATTCCATGCAAGAAGCTGAGGGCATATCTGCAGACGTACGGAATCGATGGCTAGTTCCTATATATTGAGAGAAGGTGCTCTCTCAGAGGAAACACGTTAAGTCGCCACGTTGAACGCTTGCTTTGGTCTCCTTCTGATGTTTATGTTGTTATAGACGTGATGATAAGGCGCAGACAGGACAGGGTGCTCACTGACGTCGATGTGGATACGAGAAATCTTCTGCTTACAGACGAACTGGTCTTGTTAGCATCATGCCATACGTCTCTGCAGTGCTATATCGAATTGTTCGCATCCAAGCGCAATGTGGTGGCGATGCAAATTAGCGTTTCTGAAACCAAAACCCTTCTGCTTTTCCGTCCTCCTGCACTCTTCAGCTAAACGGAAAGCAGTGAATCATTTCGAGAAATTCACGGACCTCACAATCGCATTTATTGTTGAGGGAAAATCTGAGGAAAAGTTCGAGCCATTGGAGTAGCCAGTGGCGTTGTGTGAACTAGCGCCAACCACTGTTACTAAAACAGAGCTCAGTCTGAAGATTAAGCTCTCGGTGTTCAAGTCGAACTTCATCGCCATGCTAATCCATGACCATGAGTCATGTACCGGGACAATAAGACTTCGATCACGGCTACAGCTGGTTGAAATGGGCTTTCTGGTTGAAATGGTCCGGAGTCCAGATATCCAAAATAATCAAGGAGTGCAGTCTCTTCTTCGCTATAGTCAGACGTCGCGGCTGTAATGAATTTTGCGTGTGTTGCGACTTCTACGTTGAAGGGGAAAAGGCTACTGTTTACCGTACCGACTAAGTGAATGCCAAGGCAAAGGTCGAGAATGACTTGAAGCAAGTATCTCGACTGAAAGTCTTTATTCCAGACTCCAGTTGCCTTCTACTGAAGCGGAAACGTTGGCACAGAATCGAAAATGTTGGAGACAGTTTCTGAGAAGTCTTCCACTTCGACCCGAAAGCGAAAGCAGCCATCGAATCTGAATGACTGACATTTTTCTTAACGTATGATATTATATGTAACATTGGATTTGAGGTACATGCTTCTGTAACATTTTATCTTTGATATCTGAGGATATGGCAGTTAAGATTACGCTACCTCTAAGAGAACTTTTGAAAATGTTTTTACTCCTGATCGGACCGTAATCTCGTACTTATATCGGTATTTGTTTAAAATGTGGAGCTGGTGACGTACCGAGGTTGTAACTTTTGCGTTGTAATCCGATGAGGAAGTGCAGTGTAAAGTCGAATCAGAAAGCGCTAAGGGTACAAGGACGATTTCATTTCGACTTTAAGCATCACAACGGCTTATTCGTTCGTCAGTTACAGACTCTTGTGAAGCATCGCTCAGAGGCTGGCGGAAACATGGCTGGTTCTGGTTACGTCAAATGCATACCGCTCAACTACGCCTTGACGGATAATGGCATGGAAGCGGTGCAAATACTGTACATTCATGATAGGCCGATGAATGACTCAGAAGAAGCAGAAACTAACATGGATCTGATGGAAGACAACTTTAATACTGAACTTAAGCAGTACCTCATAGCTCTAGAAAAAGAAAGGTCGGAATTATCAAAGTTTAAAGAAGGAGTAGAATGCTGTAGAAAGGTAAGTCAGTATTATAGTATAAAATATGGCCGTGTGATTTCGGTTTGTTACACTATACAGCTACTTGATAAAGAAATAGCAAAGATGAGGCGCGAGATCTCGTTGAATGAGGCGAGTACCATCAAGGCAAATGCCACCATGCTTAGAGTGACGATGTCAGAGAAGTTGATTGTGCCAACGTTTCTTGATCCGAGCTGTCGCTTCGTTTCTCACATGCTCAGCTGTAAAGGGAGAGTGCTAAAGGAGATTGAGAAAGAGAGTGGTTGCAAGGTTCGAATCCGCGGACAGCAGATACCGTTATTGTGGTCGGGAGTGCCAGGCGAGTTTCCAAAAGTCGGCTGCATCAATCCGGAGAATAAATTACACGTTCTTGTGGAAACAAGGGGCAGCGACGAGGAAGCAAAACAGAAAATCGACGTTGCTGTTAATAGGATAAACGAGATAATCGGCAGTATTTACTTTTCACCTTCCATGTCCCGCTCAGACGACTTTCGAAAATATCACTGGAAACAGAAAATTTGACTTAACTTAAAGTCAATCGATGCTTCAGTTATGTCATTGTTGTGTTAACGAATTGTTGCTTTTTAATGCAGTGTGTCATAGCTTGATCTGTTGGTTCAAGTCTTCTGTGGTTACAGATCAATTATTGTAGATGCGTAATTAAACTTGAATTTCCTTCAGTCATAGCGATGTTAGAAACTACAATATATTAAATGTCCTGCAACAGAGCTATGCGAAAAAGCGCCACAGATGATGTCATGAAAGATGAGTTGTAGCTTAAGCATGACGTCATTGTAGTGACCGGTTAATGGAATAGGAAGGTTGGTTTTCGAAACGATACTAAAAAGCAGGCTCGGCTGGTAAGGGATTGACACGCAGTCTTGCGACCGGCTACTGGATTTCATCGAGAGAGACAAACTGACTGGCTAGCGGCAAAACGTCGTTACAGCACCACAGAAAGCATCTGTTAAGGTAGTATTCGAACGACGGCTAATCATGTTGTGTGCTGGTCGGTGCAACATGGACTAGCAGTGTCATCGACAGCAGGCCAATGCATGGGGCTGGCTAAAGTGGGCAACGTCACCGGCATGCACCATGTTGTAGTTCTCGCGACAATGCATCACCAATTGGCGATGAAACCTAAGACCCCCCCAACCAAAGTGTCGTATCGACTACTCTAATCTACTTAACAGCACCAGGTCGTCTGCGAACAGCTACATCTTTCTTGTGATATCACGTAGGAAGGTATAAGTGGCTGCACCAGACTTCACAGCATTCAGCTATGATGATACTTCGCCACACGGAGAAGTGCAAAAAACGACTGGATCACCACAATTGCAGACCGGTTTCAGAAGTTAGCCGCCAGAGCTCATGTCAATAATCGGACTCACTCTACTCTGTTTGGCCACAAGCTTCGAAAGCCGTCAAAGCCGTAAAGAACATATTCTTGGAAGAAACAAATTAACGAATTAATGAACGACAGAAATACTCTCATTTAATTCGTCACGCCACAAATTCCGCGCAGTCTTAAATTAAATTTTCACGTTCCTCATGTGTATTTGGTCGGCGGCTGCCGGGATCAATAGCCTATGTCGTTCGCGATTCAAAACGCGAGAAGACATAGTGAACGTCTACCACGCCATACGGAACACTGGTGAACAATACACAGCATAATACTGAATTTGCGATGGCTGTTTTTTTTATAAAGGCACACTTCTGGTTGACTTCCGGCGGATACCCGTACTTGAACAGCTAGTTATCGCTAAACAGATACCATTTCTATGCGATCTCCTAAAATTTTGGTAATCAGCCAGGAACGTCTAGGGCATTGCGCCAGCAAATCACATTTTGCTTCTCAGTGCAGGTTTCATATTCGGATATTAAGCGACAGTTCAAACGTCATGGCAATATTCCAATTCAATTCATGGCATTGCTCCCCTCCTTTAGCTAGAAGTCGTCCTGCATCACAGGTCATCAATCATGGAGCTGCTCTGTGTTATGTAGTACCCTTATATCTTATAGGAAAATATTTCGTCGTTTTGGCTAATCGCATAATTCTTGTTTCGGATTTGCTTTGGGCCGTCAAACAAGGCTTTAGCCTACTTATGTGAACGGCATGCCGCTTATGAGATATCAACTCGTGCTCCTATGATCTTCTGTGCAATGCATGGCGCATTCCACTATATATAAAATCTATTTTTCCGCGGCATAAGAAACCGCACGTGCAAGCCGACGTCAAATTTTTAACCGGACGATTTGGTATCGTAATAGCATTTTTGGGTTCGCCGATTCCTCTCTCTGTTCTCTCTGGCGTACTCGCATGTTTGATGAAGTTGATCCTTCGTTTCTTCTACGTGGTCGTTATTTCTTGCCACCGGGCTATCCACAACATCCACTGGAAGCCGAGCTTATGTTTTAAACAACATCTGGAAAGGAGTCGTTTTTGCCATCTGATAAACACAAGTAAATTATATCGTCCATACCAGCGGAATACCAATATCCCAGTCGAATAGGTTTGTTTTTGCAATTGCAGCTCTTATGATGATCAGTAGCGCTTGACTGAACCGTTTTACATTCTGCCGTAGATGGTACGGCACTGACCATGTTTTCTGTATTTGTAGTTCCCAGCAAATAGCAGTTAATCTCCGAAATTTCTGCCTTGGTGAGACTGCAACTGATCTGAAATTCCAAAGCGGGTAAAGACTCAACTACCATCAGGCAAGAGAGTGGCTGCTTCTATAATCTTATTAGATAAAGCTTCTACCCACTTGGTGAAGTAATTGCATATTACCAGAATGTGTCGATTGCATTCGGTAGTTTCTGGGAATAGACCGATATAATCCGTTACCAACCGCTGGATAGTATTTCCCACTTGACTCGATTTAAGGCGGACACACGGGGCACAATAGGAAATGGTTTTCGACATATTGCCTCTGACCCGGC